TCCAGGACATATCAGTTGGGACGAAGTGGACAACAGAACAAATGACGCTGCTGAAGAAGTGTCACCTGAAAAAGCCACTGTCGAAGAAGAAACTCTACTCAGTTTTGAAAAGGGGAAACGGTGAAGCTCTTGATGAAGTTACTACCACTGATGTGACTGTTATCGACAATAGAACATTTCCTGATGAAGCAGATGAACCCCATATGAAGCAGAAGCTAACGAGACAGAGACCAGTACGGAAGAAGATACGTCCCGTAAAATTAAGAGACTTTGTTGAATTGTAATTTTGTGTTTGTAATTCTGTACATTTAATTAAGTTATTGTTAATTGTTATTGGTTTATTGTAAGTGGCTATTGTTTGGGACGAACAATACCAAGGAGGGGGCAGTGTTGCGTCAGCGAGGTCACGTGACTAGTATCACGCCACCCGTTTTCTAGAAATATCCTGTTCCATCAAGAATGCCCTAGCATTTACTAGATATGTGTTAGTCTGGTATATATAAGATGGTCACAACGTTACGGGACAACAGAGGTAATGAGTAATTGAATGTATGAGGACAAAATATTGTTGGCCACGTGAGACATAGTGTTGTTATAGAGCGACTGTTGAAATTAAGTGTATCGTAAAGTTATATTCAGAAAGAATAAACCAGTTGTATTTAAGAAAGGACTTGTGTCGCTAAAGTTTCGTCGGAACGAATTTACGGAAAATTAACTAACGACTGGAGGTGTAACACTATCAAATGTCTTGAATATTATATTTTGACGATGTTTCAAGGTACACACGTTCCTTTTTCAGGTTAATGGGATAGAAAATGGATAGCTTTATGAACACAACGTGTAGAGCCCCAGGGCCAGTGGTTGGCACAGTGTGGAATCTCAGAGCCACTGGCTTACATAATATGGAATCCCAGAACCATTAAGTGGCACTGTATGAAATCTGAGAACTGCTGGCTAGAATAATGTAGAATCATAGAGCCACTAACTGGCATAACGTGGAATTTCAGAGCCATTGATTGGCACACACTGGAAACCCAAAGCCACTAGTTTACACAATATGGAATTCCAGAGCTATCAATGGTACAGTATGGAAAATCAGAGCCACTGACTGACGCAATGTGAAATTTCAAAGCCACTGGCCAACACAGTGTAGAATTCAAGAACCCATTGATTGGCTCAATGGGGAATTCCACAATTACTGTCTGGAGTACCATTTTCTTATAACTTTTATTATTTATAATATATTTTGCAAATAATATTCCAATTTTTTAAAATCTGAAATGCTATGAAATTAAGACACTGGTATCTCAGAAGACGGAATACAGAAAATGGTATCATGGAATCTCACTCTGATAAAGTTTGGTTGGTAAGTAATTCCCAAAGCTACCATGTCTGAAATTAAGGATGAACAGACGTTCAAACACTATCGTAATTATGTGTGACGTAAGGTGGAATGTTAGAACTCAAGAAACACATTATCACAGTTTTAAAACTCTAAAATGCCCTAATTAATGCCCTATTAGCGTTTATTGCATCTGCCAGAAAAATATCAGATGTGTCACATATAGTAAAGATTGATTGCAAGGGTTAATCTCAAAAGTTTGTAACAATGAATGTGCGGAATCTACCTCCATTCCCGAAAACAACAACAACTATTACTGCCTTGTTTATTGGCATTTTTTAATTTTGATGCATATATAAAATTAAATGATTTACGTTGTTGTATTTTTCAGCGCCACCTATCCAGTGAAGAATTTCAGCGTATTTTCAACATGGGTCGTCTCCAGTTCTATCGCCTGCCTGAATGGCGAAGGAAAGACATGAAGCAAAGAGCTATGTTATATTAGGAACATAGCTTATGCTAGAGATCCACCAGGAAAAGAATGATAGAATTATGAAATCCTCCATTACTGATGTAGTCACTGATTCTTATTTTCCTTTGTGACGTTATTTTATGTAAATAATTTGAATTATATCTACCTGGAACTCGAAAAAATACTTTGTAGGCCACATAGCCTTATATATATATTTTGTATTTATATTTCTAGATCAGATTTCTGTTTATACCTGAATGACCCTAAATCTCATTATCTTTTTTTTTGCAAATAATTTTAATACAAAAGATTGAATTTTTTACGCCTCAGTATTTACATTTAATCGTGCATAATGAAAGGCTTAAGGCAAAGTTTAGTCTATATTTCTATTGTTTTAATGTATTGATAAATTAAATACTTTTGAATTTTTTTTTAATTTTGGAAAATGTTTAAATTTTTATACAGTGTCGTTATTAAAGTGTAAGGTCTACAGAAGAAATTTAGACTATAAGATATCAGAAAAACTTGCTGCATGAACTTGTGGTTTTTGTCACGTTGACAAAAGTGATACGTTTTATAGCATGTATCCTTCATATAGTGGAATTAGAATTTCGTATTCAATGTTTGGCACACACGTCTCTACAATTAAGCAGAATCAATAAAAACTTACCAACCCTTTATCACTGTAGTTAATATTATGCTCAATAGATGACGAAACGTATTTAGGCGCTAGTAACTTGTTATCCCAGGCATTACACTGACTTCGTGTCTGTAATAAGAAATATTTGTGTTTATTACATCGTATTCAAGTATGTTTTCGTCAGGTATGTAATAGATGAGAACAAATTCAATTTATTTAATATGGTTTGACAAATCGCGAAATCTGGTGTGATAGTTTGAAAACCAATATTTTATAGTTATTTCCTTGTTGGTACGGTTATTTTGAAATAAAATATGATGCATTTTTATTTTTTTATTGATTACTTGATTAAGTGTAATTGTAGTTGTTGTTATGTGTATTGCGTGATGATATAATTTGATTCAAATGTGTATTTTTATAGAGTAAAGAGATAGTGGATTTGATAATGTATGTTTAGACATTTCTTGCATTGCTTTATGTCGATGGAATTATTCAATGCTATATTTTGACAGTTCGTTTAACTAGCTAAATTTAAAAAATAAAAACTCATTGATTGGCGCTAAAATAACTAAAAACATATTAACACTTTATTGATAATAATGATTAGTAACGAAAAAACATTGTCCATAGTTACACTACAGCCGATACTGACTTCAAATCCGAGAGATCTATGTTATTTATATGACATCTAGTAGGAAAAAGCAGTTATAGTATCATTAATGGTATTTAATATATTCACTGCATAAAATGTTTATGTGGAGGTATGGGAGTTACTAGATTATTGTTTTCTCGTTGTTAGTAACCTACCTGATTACCTAAGTCTACTTATTAATTAGTAACGTTTTTGTTATGACTAGATACTAATTACTAACTAGTTTTATCTTACTAACCATGAGAGCAATTATTATTCGATCGCTACAACTTTCAGTAGATACGAAGGTGAGCTTCTGAGGCGAGTGATAATCACAATAGAAGAATCGGTATCTTAAAATTACCTAGTATATCTGCTTGTAATAAAATCAATTTAAATGGATTAATTTGTCACCGTGGAGTGAACTGACACCTTTTTAGTCACCAGGAAATATCCAGAACATACCACATTGAGGTCAGACTATGGAGACTGAAAGAGTCGTTGATGCTGTCTAGTGATAATTGTAATTTTAAGAATATAGGGTACTCACGCTTACCAATAGTCATTGTTTTGGCGCTAAGAAACCGACCTACATGAAAATTTCACGGTATCAAGCTAATATAGGAAGAAAATTTATTATTTTTTAAATGTTCATTAAAGTTTTATATTTCCTAGAAATAGATACCGTTTTCTTTGGCAAACAAAAGTTAGTGTTATGTATTTTAGCAACACTGAATGGCAATGAAAACGTGTATCCTTGCTGTGAGAGCGGTGTTTGCTCCTCTGGATATGAATGATTAATGTTGCAACCACGTTTCTCCCTAGAAACCTGCAGATATAAATGTGGAACTAGTGGGGTTTTTTAAATCTCAAAACACATTTTGTTGTGTGTAACAGATACTGTTTTTTTATAATAATAATAATAATATGTAAATTGTATTTTCTGGACACTCATTTAAATTATAGAGAAGCTGAGCGAATTTTTTTAATTTTGTCTTGCAAAGAGCATGTGAAACTTGGTTTCATTTACTAAAATAGGCAAATGTAAGTTTTCTCAGACAAAAAGATAAATTATTGCTTGAGATAATGTGTTCTGCAAAATTAGTTTTACAACATGTTTATGTATTTTATGAAAATCTTAAATTTTAGCAGAGCCATCTTTAAATACTGCAGTAAAACTTTCAAACAAAAATACGCGTTTTTGGTATCTTGTATTTTGGTTAATATTTTATAAAGGTTAATATTATTTTCTGCGGAATATATTCTTAATTGTTCAATATTTTATAAGTATGTTGTCAGTCATCGCCAATTTATTATTTTTAAATATATGTGTTCACAACTATAACTAAATGTGGCAAGTGGCGACATTTAGTGGGGCTTGACTTAAGCTTTACTACTATTTGAAATACAATGAATATCTCTGTTTTTTAGTGGTTTGTGATTGACACGAGCTACGTTTCACCCGAAAAAATTCGTGTTTTCAAAGGTAGTAGGCACGAAGGACCATCTCATTATAATTTTTATCACATCGCTGTTTTAAAAAATGGGTAGTCGTTTTTGTACTTGTAGTATAAGTATTTTTTGCTTACTGGAGCTTTTTGTGACAGTGAGAAAAAGTATTGTAGACGATATGAATACGCTTAATGATGTTTTCTTTTAATACAAAATGTGCACATGTGTATTAGGTTTTCAAATCAAATAAAAACATTTTACCCTCATGGTGCTTGAATTACTGTCAACTATCCCAAAGACTGTGTGTGTACGATTGATAAATACATCTGACTAGAATAGTGAGTTTTAAATACCTTTAATTGCTTGTTTGTTTCAAAATTTTGCGCTACATTACAAAAGGGTAATCTGTGCATAACAGGGTTTGCAGTCTATACCGTTACTGGTTTATAGCACATCACATGTTGAGAATAATATCTGTTATCATATGTCCCATCTTCGGAGTTTCGCTTTTCACAGAATTATAAATGTTTGATGTGGTACTTTTGAGTTCATACTTCAGATGATAAGCGAATCTCACCATGAACTATGGGAAACTGGTGACTCCCACGCTCTGGAAGAGAACATGAATGTGCCTACGTGACTGATTGCACGTTAGGTAGGTGCGTGCGTGATTAACCGTTAACATGCGGACAAATCAAACTGCGCATGTCACGACGTTTTAGTAAGTTACCTGCAAAATGTAATTAAACAACTTAATTATCATGGTATGCGAACAAACTTGACATCAAACCATATATAATAAATCAAAATTTAATATTATATAAGCTTTACATTCTTAATTATATAATGAAATATTTAAAAACAACCTCAAATTCCCCTAGTGTGAGAATTTCGATATTTGTTCTTGAGCAGTCTCCTCTTCTGGATATTTTTGTTCACCGCCTAGAAAACTACGAAATGTAATGTAAAATATTATCTATAATTTCGTCATCAATACTCTGAAGCTATATTTTTATATTCTTCAGTTTTATGGGGCTAAAAAGCAATCACTGAAAATTCAGAAACCACTTTCCACGCCTACCTCTGGCATGCAGTAATTTATAATTTGCCCATAGATTTCTCTGGAGCTGACTCCCATAACATTTATAACAAATAGAAATTTCAACTGATTCATTGCCATAGTCATCATACCATGTGGACTTACAGATAATTTACAATTTGTTTTGATGTGGAAAAAAATTCCCACGAGAACACACTGGGAAGAATAGTAGAATTTCTAACTGCTCAAGTCACATGATTAGAGATGCTCGAGTACCAGCAACCTGGTACCACCGGTACTAATGCATAATCATCCCTAACTTTGAGCTGATAGACAACTAGTCAACAACACCCACTTCCAACTCTTTGTCTCATTGACAAGTGGGATTTCACTCTCACTCTAATAGTATATCCACAGCTCTAACGTGCGGAGAACGTTTTGCAACAACGAATTGCTAACCATGAATCCTCGGATCCACAGTCCGGCCACGTTTATTACAAGACCATGTCCAGCCCGCTCTTAATGGAAAGTAAAATAATAAACAATGTGTCGGAGACATTTATTTTCACCCTCCACGGTTGCGTAAGTGAAAGAGTTTAATTGGCATGTAAAGCATCGTTTCATTAAATTATATTTGTATTTTGGATCAAGAACGAAGATCACAAATATTTTGATTATGTTTAGACTCTGTACAACGTGTTAGGCTTGTTTATCTATTTCCAATGATCATCGCCCCTAATATTATTCACCTTATAATGCCAATCAATTGTGGTTTAAAAAAAATCTACAATACGTATTTTTTGCTATATATTAGTTGGTTTAACGTTGGGAGATGTAGCTTTTGTATGTGTTATTCGTTTCTTTGTTATTAAGCATAGAGCTACACAATGGACTACCTGTACTGTGCCAATTGAGGGTATCAAAACCAGGTAATTTAGGGTTCTAAACTCAAAGACTTTGTGCTGAGCTACGAGGGGTGCTTTTTCAACTTGTTATATTACACGTTTTTATGAAGAGTTAATATTTAGTTTCAAGAATTCGGACAGTTATTACCGAGCAGACTGAAGTAACCTCTGTGTTATTCAAGCCAGGATTTACAGGTGGCAAAGCCAAATATATAAATATCAAGTCGTAATCTTACAGGTGGAAGAGCCAAAGACGCAAATATGAAGCCAAGATATTACAGATGGAGGTGACATAGATACAGATATAAAGACGGGATCATACAGGTGGAGAAGCTAGAGATACAAATACGAAGTCAGAATATTACAGGTGGAGAAGCTAGAGATACAAATACGAAGTCAGAATATTACAGGTGGAGAAGCCAAAGATATACATGTGAAGTCAGAATTACATTGATTAAAACTATATGTGGATTTGAACCTGAATATAAAACAAAAATATCTCAGAACAAAAGTAGATGTTAAAGTGATGAAAAGGCTACACAAACATCATAAACTGTTGTTTCATGCTAGTTTTCGAACTACAAAAGTGCGAAAGTAATTTAATATATATGTATATTTATAAAATAACACCGTATATCAGGATTTGATACAAAAAAATATTAGTCCTAAGACTTTGAGAACTGTCAAGGAATTTTTAGTTTTTTTGGCATATATTCTATTTCAACATTTGGTAGTTTCGATTGCTGAATAAAAAGTGCGTTTACTATGGTCTCTTAGTTGGTATTCTATCTCAGTTGATGAAGCGTATCTGTACTTATGACAAACTACCAAGGATGCCCGCCGCCGTTCTTAATGTTGATTTACTGACCAGAAGGAAGGCAGCTGTGTCACAGGGCCATCCCGCTCCATCTTGGTAAAACATTACCCTAGCATGCAAAAGGACTCGGGTTCGACACTGAACCGAAGAAATACAAAAAAAAAGGATAGTTGGGTTAACAAAAAAAAATATTGATCTACTGCAATTTGGGACCCCTCCCGTGCTTCAGGGAGGGCATGGCCCCGAAATGACCTCCCAGTGCCCATAGCTAGTACTGAATCCCGAATTTTAGCGCTACAAACTGTAAAGTACTAGTCGTTAAACCAAATTCCAGCTTTATAGCACTACTCGTTATAGCAACTCCCAGCTCTGAAACACTACTTGCTAAACTAACTTCCAGCTGTATACTACTCGTTAAACCAACCCCAGTTGATAAATCCATTCCCAGCTATATAGTACAATTCGTTAAACCAACTCCAAACTGCTATATACTAGTCAACTTCAGGCTGAAAATTACTCTTCGTTAAAGCAATTTTCAGCTGTATAGTACTACAAATTAAAACAACTTCCAACCATATACCACTACTCTTTCCATCAACTTCCAGCTGTATAGTACAACTCGTTAAGTCTACTCCAACTTTGTACAGTACTACTCATTAAATCAACTCCGTGCTGTATAGTAGTACTATACTCTTATAAACCAACTTCCAGCTGAATAGTACAGATTGTTAAACCAACGCCAAAGTGTATAGTTTCACTCATTAAACTAACTCCC